TATGGTTCTGGTGGAATCGAAGATAATAGACAATATCGGGTTGAGTATGGAAAATATTTTGAGTTGCGTCTGCTAAGCAGTGATGGGAGGTTTCAGAAAGACTGTTCGTATGTTTTCAGGTGTTTAAATATTTATCAGCGATATCTTATGTGTCGTGAAATAAATTATGTTTTAAAAGAAGCTAAAAAGTTTTTAAGGGGAAAAGATTTTTTAAAGGATATTCCAAAATATTTGTATCCAAAAGTTGGATGTGTTTTACGCGGTACACAGGCGTATTATGACAAAGCAAGGTGGCAAATGAAAAATATGTTCAAGTGTAAAGGGCCACCGCAGCTTTTCGTTAGCATTAACTTGCGACACTGTCCCGAATTGCTATGTTTTGCACGTCCGGAAATATATGGATCTGTTAATAATCCAAATACGGATAAAATAGATTCGGCTACAGATGATGAAATCTTGAGAATCATCAATGAAAATTGTGGCATTGCTGCAAAAATGTTTCAGCGGAGAGCTGAAAGTTTTGTAACTTTTCTGCGGTCAAAAACGTCTTCCGCTTTTCCAGATGGCGTATATGCAACGGATGTGTTTACGAAAGTTGAGTTTCAAAGAGCGGGATATCCGCACCTACATTGCTTGGTGTGGCTGAATACAAAATTTAATTACGAGACTGAGTCAGGAAAACACAAAATTGTGCGTTTCCTTGACAGTTTTCTCACGACTGATATTCCAATTGAAGAGAAAGAGAGAGACTTGGTTTTGAAGTTTCAGAAGCATGTTCATACGTTCACGTGCAGGAAGGGCAGGAAGCGTTTTAGGAAATGGGGCGATAAAGATAAAACTGCAGGTCAAAAATGTTCTGAAAGTGATAACAAAAATGAGGATTCTATGGAAAACTTTATATGCAGTGACAACGATGCCGATGAGGTCGCCAAAGATGATAGTGACGGAAAAGTACGTAATACAAAACTTGAGCGAATGCTATGTAGATTTGGATATCCGCACATCAGGTCTGATACCACAAGGTTTTTAACATCAAAAGAGTGGAAAAATAGAGTAAAGGGAGATAAGGAGATTACCCTGCGAAGATTAACAGATGTGTCTTGTGACATTGTTCCGTATAATATTGCATGGCTGAATCTTTTCAAATGCAACATGGATGTGCAAGTGGTATGCGATGTCTGGGCGGCTATGGAATATTTGTTTAGCTATGTCGCAAAGCCTGAACAGAAGGACAAGGAAGTGTTAGCGAAAGTTTTTGAAAATTGTGGAGATAATAGTGAGGAGTCAATAAGGTCAACACTTTTCAAAGCTGCTAATTCAGTATTGTCACATCGTCAGGTCGGTAAAATAGAAGCTGCAATGATATTACTGGGATGTCCTCTGTATTATTCGACAACGTCGTCTGTGTTCGTTGACCTTAAAACAGTTGATGAGAGGTCTGAATTATTGAAAAACGGTGCAGACCTAAACAATGATTTATGTGATGAAGATTTTGTTCCAAGCATGTTGCAAAAATACAAAAAGCGAATGAGTTTGCAGGATGAAGAAGAAATCATTGAATGCCTCGACAAAATGAATTTATTTGACTTTCTACAGTGGTTTGTGGCGGATTCACTGAAAAAATCTGCACTCGAAGAAAACGTAGACGAAGACGATATTGCAGAAGGAAAGGTCGATAAAGTGGTACACTTGATTGTTAACCCTTTGTGGAAAAAGGTAGAAAATGCGTCTCCATTTCTAAACGGAACAAGTCGGAAAAACATTCGGTTAGCGATTGGAAATGGTCAAGCACTGCGCATGAGAACTAAGATAAAAAATGTAGCGTTTCGCTTAAACAATGTTTGCAAAAGAGAGAGATTGTATGGGATTGCTATGTTAACATTGCCTTTTGCAACGGATGAAATCAGTGAAAAGTACAATCTAACAGGTAGCGATGAGGACTTTTTAGACGCTTTTAAGGAAGTCATTCCACAAATAAAGGGGGCTGCTGAACATTTGCCGGAAACCTACAAAAGCATGATATTTACGGAAATTCAACAGGTTTCTGAAATTGAGTACTCCTTGACGCGTAACCATAACGGGAAAACAAATTGTGAAGAAGGCTACGATGGTAATGGAACTGAAAATATTGATGGGAATATGGAAGAGACTTTAAACTTTGTCTTCGAAAATGTTGATAAAAGTTTGTTTACCGCTGAACAGAGATCAGTATATGACAGAGTTGAGCGTTATTTGTATGACCTTTTGCAAGAAAGAAGAGCAAATTGGAACAAAAAGGTAGACACTAACAAGGTGAAACCGTTTTACATCTTCGTGCAGGGGCCAGCTGGTTGTGGAAAAACATACCTGATAAAAGCCCTAACAACATTAGTTAAAAATTTTACTATTGCAGAAAAAGGCATTAATTCAATAGCAAGGTACAAAGGAGGATGCCTGTTAGCTGCACCGACGGGATGTGCAGCACATAATATAGGAGGTTCGACATTGCATGACCTTTTTGGTTTAGAAGTCCAAGATGGCGCTTTTCAGACATATAAAACAGCATCAGGGCAGAAACTTAATAATTTACGAAATAAACTTAGCGGTTCGGTGCTTCTGATTATTGATGAAATCTCAATGGTTGGAAGAAAACTATTTTATCAAATAAACCAACGGCTAAACGAAGTTAAAGATACAATAAACAAGCCTGGAGCCTATTTCGGAGAAATACCTGTGATAGTGTTTGGTGATTTTTTTCAACTGAGACCAGTGCAAGCAAAATTCATATTCGAAAAGTCCGGCGAAATTGTAGATCTGTGGAATTTATTTGAGCCGGTTTTTTTCACAAAAAATATGAGGCAGATTGGTGACGATGAATTCAGGGATGGATTAAACAAACTTCGGGATGGAACCTTAAGCGGGGAGTTCGATCAGTTGTTGAGAAAACGGTGTTTAAATAAAAACATTAACCCAGATGGGTATATGGAATTGGAGAAAGAATACAAAGAAAATTTCAAAGAGGCTGTTCATCTCTTTTATCGCGTTAAATCAACGCAGCAGTTTAACTATAATGCTTTGCAAGATTTGGCGAAACAAATGAACACGCCTGTATTAGAAATTAAGGCAAAAGACGCGGAAGATGTTGAAAGTAAGAGCCAAAAATATAAGAAATCTACAAAAAGAGCTTTATGTCCATCGAAAGATCCAAAAAAAACTGGTGGTTTGAGTGAAATTGTTTATTTAGTTAAGGGTTGCAGAATAATGCTGACGCAAAATGTAGACGTTAATTCTGGACTAGTAAATGGGGCTAGAGGAACCGTGGAAGAGATACTGTGGAATTCTGGTGAGAACAGCGTATGTGAAATTCCAGAGATGGAAGGCTGCAGTTATCCGGAAGCACATGTAGGTTCAACAATTAATGCTAAAATGCCTAAAAGCTTAAAGATACTATTTGATGGAAATAAGGAAGCATCGGTGATTTCACCAGTTACTTGTTGGTTTCGTGACGTTAATAAATCAGCAATGCGCAGAACGCAGTTTCCAGTTGCACTAGCATACGCAATGACAATACATAAGTCTCAAGGTGCTACAATCTTGTGTGGCGCTATCGACTTAAACTTTGGCGTACACCGGCCGCAGGGCGGATTTTACGTCGCGTTATCTCGATTTCCGAATAGAAATGCTTTTATACTGCTAGGTTATGCTCCTGAAGCGTTTGCGTTCTCAAAAGATGCATTAAAAGAAATTCAGCGGTTACAATTATTGGCAAACAACAATGTCCTTAACCGTTAAGACATAAACGAAAAGTGCGTACAAAAACCGATACTACCGGAAATTAACAAAAAAAGTATAAAACTGAGACGAACTGAAAATATGAACCTAAACAAAACAAAATGTCTACTTGAGTTAATGGCATAGACAATGACGTCTCCGAAGAAATTCAAAGGCCCACCACCATCGTTGTCTATCGCCGACGCAGTTACGAACAAGCCAGACAGGTGCGCAAAAGTTTAAAAATAAAATAACAATGCCACCATCATCATATTCCAAGTTTGCTTGCAGATTCGCTTTAAACGTAACCGTTGCTGAGAAAACACCAATTCGGACCAGAAAAGGGCAAGGAAGTGGGCGATTTCAATCGGTTGTCTTGGTTGATGGCACTGGCATTCTTCCGATGTGGATCAATGAGCAGTTTCTGGTATCATATGGCGAGAAATTGTGTGTGGGCGAAAGTTACAGTCTGACACTGGAAAAGGGGTCGATCCAAGGGGGAAAAGCGAGCACGGATGGAAATTGTTATTTCCTGCCGAGTTTGAATCCTGGTTTTGGTATGCTCATCACGAAAGGGTCGGCCAGTGGTAAGGATCATTTTAAAACCTAGGGCAGTGCACAAAATTAGATCAAATTTAAAACCCGCATTCCTCGCAGCGCATCTGAAAACGGTTACGTTGGACAGCATCCGTTCGATTTCTGTCAGCTACCGCCAACCAGTAGCATATGTTGCTGTAACCTGCCAAGCCCGAGTGGTCGATTTAGCGAGTGTCGAAAAGGAAAATTATTGTGGGTACTGCGATGGATTGCTACTGGAAGATCCTGAAAATGGCGCGTTGTTCTGCTCCTCATGTCAAAGGGAACCGGCTGGAAACGCGAAAACGGTCTACAAGCAAACCGAGGTAACGAGAAATTTTCCACTTGCTGCTAGTACCGATAGTCTGTTAAAAGCACTGTGTTAAAATGTGCGTAAATATGTGTAGTGGGTTTTAAAATGCACTATGTATGGTATTCCAAAGGTGACGCTGCATGACGGCAAGGGGGAACTGGTTACGCTGGCCGGAGACAACATTCTTGCAAAGTTTTTCGGCAACGCCGCTGCAAATCCGACAGCTAACTACGACTGGAAAAGCGTGACAAATAACATCCTTAAATGCCAATGGTCGCGAAATCCTGTAATTAAAATTTTGTTAACGTATCATTTGGCAATTGCTGTGATTTTTTAATTCTTGATTTTTTGGTTTATCAAGGAAGGACCCAACATTCGTTGGCATTGGATCCAGATGGCAAAGGGTAAATGCCTCTTTTGGTATTACCAGAATCATACTAACCCAGTTAACAATGTACTATGTACTATTTTAAATGTACTATTTTAGTTTAAATTTTTTTTTTAAATTTAAACTAAAATAGTACATTTAATTTAATCTTGCTAACAATAATTAAATGTGTTATAATAAACTAGGTAATTTACAGCAAACTATACTAGCACTATTATAGCAGTGACAAATGTTCATACAATTGTATATACCTAATCTGCCTGTGTTTACAGCAAAAATCTTTGATGTCGAAGCGGGGGGGATCCGGAAGTACGGGTAATCTAGCTACATTTTAAGTTTTTTGACTACAATCGGTAATTACCCAGCTGTATTGTAGATCGTAAAGGCGAGCAGGCCCGGACGCTACGTAAAGCAAGCCAGTGACTTTGACGGTATCGGCCCACCGACGTTCAAGCTGCCGCATTGGTAAATATCGTTCCTTTGCCAATAATCCGTGTTTGCAAATCGATTTTTTATTTCTATTAGTAATAAAGTATTTTGTTTTAAATAGGCTAATATGGACCAAGAAGTATTGGCTTTATTGCAACATAGACATTCCCAATCCATTCCCATAGACATTCCCATTCCCGATTCCCAAAATGCTATCTTGAATGCGGACTGAAAATTCGATTGAAAGTTTAAGTGGACTGCCATTGAAACGGAAGTGCACCAAAGGCGCCAGCTGTCCATGAAAAAGATGTTTTGTTGTCATTCATCTTCCGTAACGTCCCATTTCGTTCATTGTACATTACGCATAAAACCTTTTCATGGGAGTAGTACCACTTACCGTTTTGTATGACCTGTTTTAGCGCTTGAGTTTTTGAAGATGTCGTTCATAAAACATCAGTATTTACTAGTATTTGTTTTATGGTAACAGCAGCAGGACAGTCCGTTATGCAGTTGTTTTAGCATTCCTTCTTTTAGAATTTTGTTCAGTGTGAAAGCTTCATTAAATCAAGGATTAACTGTGCAATGGTGGAATTAATACTTAAATGAGCGTTAATAAATAAAAAACCGTTAACAAATTTTTGTTCGCTAAATACGTTACATTCATTCCCATTACGACTTGTAACGCAAGGTATCAACCATCTAGGAATTTCGTACACAAATGCAGCATGCCTGTTAATAAACCAAGAAAAATCCAGCACGAAACTTAACATACATTTTATATAGCAAACTTCTGCCCATGATATTTTGCAGCAGCAAGTTCTGCTTGAAAACAGAAGGCGCGTATTTCATTGTACCGTGAATTCGGTTAGTCAGGTAATTTAGTCCAACATAATTTATGGCCATTGCTTCAAGGCTAAATGCGACGGCATCATGGCTCTTTTGACAACCTGTCACCACTGCAATCTGATGTCCAGAAAGCCACACATTTTGCATAACGGAAGACTTTGGAGAGATCTGTTTATGGATAAAATAAACTTTCTTTAAACCGTCATGAAAATCTGAATAATGATACTGTATACAGTAATAATACTCTATATGAAAATTCTCTTTTTTAAATTTACCTTTTTTCCCGCACGTGCTTCATAAACATGTTGTTTTGGGCGATTGTAATACTTTCGGTTGGCAGAGGCCTTCCCAATATAAAATATGTTTTTCAAAAATTGAACAAAAGAGACATTGGTATCTATACTACGTAGGAAAATATAAACATATGCTGACATTAACGTACATTAATCATTGAAAATGCAAATAAGAATCACGTGCATTTTAAAAACCTCTACTGTAAGCGAAAATCAAAATGACCCAGACAAGGAAGAAAAAGTCCCTTTTATTGTCCGACCATCTGAAACTTTAAAGAGCGTACGGTTTAGGGTTACTGGCCTATCAGGTGCCGGGAATTATAATGGCAATAGCACGTGCTGAATCCTTTGTGTCTTATTTAGTAATACCAGTATAGTACTGACAACGGCGGCATCGCTGATCTTATCAAGATGGCTTTAAAAAAAATGGAAATTCCCATAGTTCATTTTTTCATTTTTTGACACATCAAAAATCAGTCCTTTTAATTAGGCATGGATTAACAGAACGCACGTACAACGTAAAAGTCAATACAACCATACACCTTCCTTAAAGGCATGAAGCAGTAAAAAAATAGAGGTCTCAGGCTACAATCTAAAATTATGGCAAAGGCATGTCAGTAGAAAATATAACGACGTATACAAGCTAGATACAGGGATGTAAAGAAACCACGGAATCCACATGAGCGTGCCACGTCGGGAAGCCAAAAACCATGTCTGGAAGCCCTGGGATGGGAAATCCTAAAAGACATTTTATTCGTACAGTATACACCTCATTTATACCTTGGTACTGCACAATTCAAGGTATTAATGCTTGAAATACCAAAAAGTATTCCACTATTGCCCACCCTACCCATTTTAAAATTCAAATGCTGTAAAATTACCTATTCAAAAGCGCAAGGGCATGGCTGTCGTCGGATCCCCATGGCAATTTTAAAAAGGTCAAGGGTCTGCTCCGAGGGCGGTGAACGTATTGTTAGCTCCACATAAGTTGGATAACTCCGGCGGTCTAAGCGGCGGCAATAACATCGTTTGTTCACGATAATCGGTCGCCCAAGAATGTTTGCCGATACAGTCATTTTCCATTTAATCTGAAATGGAAAAATCAGAAAGCAGATTACACGAAACATCAACGTAATTTTCGACATTTTGGTCCCCCTACAAATTGAATACCGCCAAACGAGTACCAGTACGAGATAGACCGAAAATCCAAAGCAACCAACGTTCCAACTTTACTCCAAGTAAACTCATTCTGGATTAAAATCAAACCGAGAGATACATTATTAACAAAGGCTTTTCACCTCCCTGCATGCAGTCTGGATCTGGTTATAGAAATCTAGCGGTGGTTTTCTTGATTTATTGACACGAAGATGGTAATTTGGTAATAGATCTGTCCATAAACGTAGCCACCCGTTATCTTCACAAACTAATGTCGCGACATACCGCCTTAATGATTGTCTTCCCAAGTGTTTAATGGTAGTGCAATCTAACAAGAAAAATATCTATAGAAGAAGCCGAATATATGCATGGACTGTCACTCCCTTTCATACCACAAAAACCGCCTGTTTGCCTGCCCACAGTAAGGATTAATTATCGAAATGAATCCTCATTTATGCGAACAGCTTTGGTGAGAAACAGCTGACTGGTGCCATTATTTTTGGTAATGGTTCCTTCTGTCCCTGCTAGATTGCCTACCACAACCTGTCGGCAGTCGGTTAAAAACCACACGGCACCTTAATCTTTTTATTCATGGTCTGCGTTTGTCAGCAGCTGTTGGACTACGATACCAAATTGACATACACAACTGTGGGTTTGGTCAGAAACAAGCATGTTAAACGTTACTATTAATGCTACTGATGATTATTTTTTGTCGACAATTGTTCTTTTACTACAACCAACCTTTCGCAGTTCCATGTTAACTGTCACAAAAAATACAAAATAAATATTACCATCGCATTTATAACCGAAGCGCATCACACAATTTCAGCAGAAACAATGAATAATAACATGACAAAAAAATAAAATACAAAATAAAACCAAAAGTTTCGAAATTCAGTAAATTTTCAGATTAGAAAAAAACCATTTCTTTCATGTATTTATGCCTGATGTTGTTTTTTGCATCGTTTGACCCTTGAAGACATTTAAAGTCGTACCAACTGAATATAATTCTGTTTCGTCCTTTCTCCTTTTTAGCGATTACTTTATGTATCGTTAGCTTACTGAAAGCAATTTCAAACGTAGAAAGTGTATTCCTGATTTACAGATACGTTGACTATAATCACCAGATAGACGCATGTACAATTAAAGATCCTACGTCGGATCCCTCTTCTGACCGAAGTTTCAAATCTAAGAATCAAAAGTTAATACTAAGAAACACTAACACATAAAATTACTATTATCACATAATAATAACAATTATTATTATTAGTATTATTATTAGAACATTAGTATTATTAGAATTTGATTCTTAGAACTGAACAAACAAATAACCTGGAGTTGGTCTCGTTTGTTCTAATTTTAAAAAGACTTTACTTTTTGATTACAACTTGGCGTGTTAAATTTCTAGTACCACAACACAATTACCAGAAAATACAATAAAACCGCCTTTGTCCCTCAAATAACATTAGATGTCGAGAAAAACCATTAAATAATAATAGCCCACCATGCCCGACCCAACCCAAATACTCAAGTGGCTGCTTACTTCCACATTAGCAAACAATTTGGCGCCATGCTCTAGCTTTGATAAAAATCGGATCTTTGTGAGACTCTTTGTTATCCCCATAAAGATGTTGCGACAATATACTTTGCAGACTGGTGCTATGCGGTATCTTTGGTATTGCGGCATCTTTGATGCTCTTAATGATTTTAATGCATCTTCATGCTCTTAACGTCAATGCCATAAATTACTGTCATTCGCAGGTGTGGACTATTGTCCACACCGAGTCTATCTGTACCACTTCGCTGAGGAGATATGCTGCAAACTCCCAGGAAAAGCCGTATACAGAATTGTATACCCATCGGTATTGACGATGCAGACTCAACCGTGAACAACAAACCATTTTCCACTGGGACTGAGAGCGGAAACACTAGCCCGGCGCTTATCCGGGAAGACGATCAACCAACTCACCATGGACAGGAGGGCCACGCCAGTCAGCGTCTTCGCAACCACAACAATAATGAATTATGCGAGTGCGGTACTACAATCGCCGTACACAGTGCGTACCTTGTTTTACACTCCACAAATTTCTCCAAATCCGGCGGCCATTACCGGCTTCTAGTTTTTGTCAAAACCTAGTCCATGTCTTATCGTTTTACCAGTAATTTTTATAAATATTTACAATGTTTTAATATTTCAGAATTTTCAATACTGGGTTTGAAGGCTTTGTTATCGCATTTTAATTGACTGTGGCATAAGTTAACTGACTTTGAACACACAAGCAAAAGCCATCTTTTAATTAAAATAATTCAATGCGGTTCAGCTGATTGTTGACGGATTATAATGTTATTAGAGTAGCCGTACAGGTAACACAGCCGACATCGGCCACTGATATAAAGAAAGACCAACCATGACGGCACTTTTATGGATTTACCGGATATTTTATGGATTTACCGGATAATTGCTCAACAATCAGCCGAACATTACTTACGTTACTGACAGGATACGTATACCGTAAATCGACAGCATCGCTTTATGAGAAGTTAACCAATAACGTCAATCGCCACCACGCGTTGAACGATATCTAATTACGTAAACAATTGTATTGATTACAAGATCGCCTTATGGAGTGCTTTTTCACATTTTACATTTCCTGGGTCCTTTGCAAACTGGGAAACGAATGCTCAGCTTCGATATCTGCGAGCGACTGGCAGATCGAAGACCAAAGCGACCACTAACTGAAAGCTTCAGCAATAATTTTTGTTTCCTTTCATGGCACCAATTTATGATTTGAGTAGCATTTCGTGGGTCGTGCAGTGAATAATTTGGGCGGCAAGTTGTAACCATCCGGCAGGTGTTTTGTGCTCAACAAATAAATTACCAAGTGAATGGGCCGAAGCTTCAACATATAGTCGGGAACGGTTACGATTAAAGTCCACCACTTCTAGCAACACTTCTTCCGATTCTTAAGGTCCATCTGCATATTATGATGCATGTATCCTGTATAGTGCTCCAAACAACCCCCACTTTATTTACCTTACGTAATTTATTAATTTTGTGCTAAAATCGCATAGAATAACACAAAGCCACGGTATGCATTCGGACGGTAACAGAAAGTAGAAGAGAAAATCAAATAATTATGACAATAATCGACTTGTTAAAAGGCTAACACGGTAAGAACAGAGAACAGCACCCGCCAGTGCAATTAAATAACAAATCGTCATCGGATCAAAACGCCTGTAACAGCTATTGCGCATACACAGTAACACCCAATAAAAACCATCCTGGCGGGCCTGGATAGCCATCCTGGCCGGCCTTGGTGTACAGGTAGTGTTCGCCTTCGTCCGCAAATTTCCGCATATCCGTCACCAGGGACATGAAACGACCGAATCGACCCGTGATTCCCGCCTGCGTTTTCATGGAATCGTTCTTCAGCTCCTCTTGGCACCGTTCGTATGCCCATTTGATGGGACGCTGCTTCACCAACCCAGGAACAACTGAAGAAACAGTGATCTATTAAATTATATATGAACTGATACAAAATAATTCATAATCAATAGTCATCTCTGCACCAGACTAAATCCATGGGTTACAAAAAAGAATTTAGTGCAGCACCTTGCGACAGCCTTAAAAAACGGTTAAAAACTCAACTTCAAAGAAGAGAATATTCTAATTATCGTACAAACTTTCTACCAAAACTTTGTATGAAAACGACTACACTAGCAGAATGACATCGCACATATAGATATAAATTACTAACTACGTATGCATGTTACCTAAAACAAAACTAATTCGATGTTTTACTGATTCATAATAATTTTACTTATGCTCTTAACAATATAGGTATTACTTTTGCTAGCAAACCATCAAAAAATAATTAACTACTTCAGCAATTTCTTGAAAGTATATAGTTTCGAATTACGTCAAATGCACTGTTTCTGGTACGCTTAGAAAGTAATACTAATCGGCTGTCACTAATCTTTTTAGAAAACAGTACTCATTTGCTAATATCCTTTCTGGTCCATCGCAATCCTAAAAACTTACATGGATTCAATAATAAAATCATCTTGATGTTAAGGAAGTCGGCGCGATTTATAGCCAATTCCCGTACTAACTCCACCATCCGCTGAATGGACGCGCAGTTGGCCGGATGTCCCAGCGCCGCAATTTCCGTCATTTTGATCGTCGATCCTCCGGACAGGTGTTGGAACTCGTTCATAACATTTTGTGACAAGTGGTAGATGATGTCGAACATGAGGTACAAATTCCAGCCGAACTGCAGCAGTTTCTTCTGGTCTTCATACTGCCAACAACAACTGCTAGTAAACAACTCTTGTTCCTGGAGAATCTATAAGCAGCGTTCGCAGAGAACCTCACTTACATCCAAGGAATCAAAGAAAGAGGAATCGCGCGCCCACTCCACGAACGAGTACACTTTCTTATCCAGCATATTACAAATGATTTCTAGTGACGCCGCGTTGGGTTTCCGTTTGGTTTCCTCCTCCAGGACTTCCAGTAGCCGATCCTTCCAGTCGTCCACCAGCTGGACTGTACTCTTCATCTGTGCTACCAGGCGCGGAATACGTGCCATCAATGCTGCGAACTTTGAAACATTGTCTGCAAAAAGAACACTATATGAATTACATTGCAGTCGAAACATAACCCCATTTCGAGCGCATACCCTGATCGTTCTGATCACCGGCCGAGGACGTCGTGGGCGATTCCACGCTGTTGGCCACTGTGCGCTTGCGATTGGGTTTGGCGTTGCCGATGGTTTCCTGGGGAATGACGGCGCTGGCCAGATTCTTCTTGTTGGCCCGCTTCCCGCGCCGCACGGGGGGCTCGTCATCGGAATCCTGATTCTCCGACTGACCGGTGTAGCGGAACGATGGATGCGCGCTGCTGCTCGATGGGCATCCAAGAGCGCGATCCTGACGCACAGGTGCAAAAGCTAACGTTGCATCAGCTACAGCTTACGATTCACTGGCTTTAACTCAAGACAATGAACATCCCTGCATCCCCGCCTGTTCCGCACTGCCCAATCCGCAGTATAAAAAACCTTGAAAAAATCGGAACGAACCTTAAGGTAAATTATGTGGACTGCTTCAGCAGATAAATAATTTACTAATTACTAATTTACCAGTTTACGTCACAGAATGACTTCTCTACTGTAGTCAATTAATGATCCGTTCGCCTGTACCGCACCTGACTCCATCGTTTACTTCATCCACCCAAAAATAACCATACTTTACAGGAAACAGAACGGAGCTACCGGAAACACCACTGGTCAACAGTCGTACTTTTACTACTATCGAGCAACGGGAACGCAAATTCCGGTATGCAAACGCAGCATGGTACAACTAAAGCTATTCATGGCAAACTGCAAATGCCGGCAAAACCAGTTCGCCAGTGGACAACGTCTGCTTACACCAGTGGTCTAACGGTCGAAACATCAACAGTAACACTGAAAAATGTTTATTTAAAAGGAATTACCGATCCCCATGAATCATTACTTTTAATTATTCACTGAAAACACCTCCCATATCATCAGCAACTACCATCACTGCATCATGGACGTTTTTGACGACGACGGCGACTTGATGGCACAAGCACTGACTTTCCAGCAGTTTTATTGTAGGGGTTGGACGCAGCAAGTTGATTGTACACCGCAAGAATACGGATCCTCCGTGCGCTTCCGTCATTAAACTCTCCGCTGTACTGCGCACCATACGCCTTCGGGCAAATATTGAACGGGACCAAATCTTCTTCGCATAACTCACGTGGAGGACGTTTGTAAAACACTTTATGCGATGTCAACTTCTGCTTAGTTTCCACTTGAACAGTCAGAAACTGTCCTAACCCACGCTCGGTCAACTCAGCACAAATCTTCCTGAACAGGGGCTCATTTGCTGTTAAAGCGTGATTAGAGTAACCGCTACATTCATTTATGACCCTCAGTGTCGCAAACTTTCCTACGCACAGCATTACCAATTGTTCTTCACTTAACAAGGCAGGTGATGAAGGTCCACATCTGGGTACAACAACGTCTGCTGACCAGAATGCCACAACGAATTCGAAAATATAGTTCAGAAACTCTTTGGCAAGCAACACCACAGATCTGGGCATCCTTCGCACAACATCCATTCGCCGCTGTTGTTCTGCAGCATCTACGCCACACTCAAACCCATGGATGTTTCCACAAATCTTCACTAAGATGTCTTCGTACTTAGTACGCGTTAACACCTGCTCAATCGGTTCTGCTTTAACAAACTCATCCAGTGCTTCATTGTTGAACCATATGTACACCACTCCTTCCGTCGACGTGCGGAACTCATTTAGTTTGTCCATAACGCCTTCTAACAATACTTTCTGCGAACCGCTTTCGAACCTTTTTCTCTCGGAATTCGGCTTGCCATAAAACTCACTTCTGTGGACCATTGCGTCCATCGGGACAATTAACCACCGGTCCTAAAATTTTGCAAAATTATAAAAAAACCAACATGCTATAATTATCGAACTTATCTAACTCTCACGAAAAAAACCTTCAGGGTATATCCTCAAAATAAAAATTATATGCCAAATGATATCTTATATGCCAATAACTCCACTTAAATACATAAGTATACACTGCCGATGTTCGCCACGTGCGTTCTATTATATTTCGCGACGCTGTTCCCGCCATTTACCTATAATTTGACATATCAGCTCTCAAACACTTCCACTATTTAGCAGAAGCCCAACATGCAAACTGTTATGCGATCTTAACAAAACATCCCCATGAATATTAATTTCTCGGTCACCTTGTATCATATATAAATCTTGTTACTCGTACTATTATACATACACATATGCCTTTATGAAAATCATTCGCCTCCAATAAGTTACTTCTATAAACTAGATACCCTAAGAACAGCACGATTGTTAATATGTATAATATACTTATAACAGTAACTACCGTTCTTGCCCACACTCTTCGTCAGTTGGTGCACAATAGTATTGTATCGCATGTAATCAGTTCGACAATTAGTTCGTTCGTATTTCCCTTTACCGTCCTAAATTTTTATTTACATATGGCGGACTATGTCATTAAGCTTGCCGCTTCAACAGTGCAACGCCTTTGTAATATAGCCTCCAAACCGTAAAACGCATACCTGAAGACCACTGCCCGGCGCGCAGGATTGCACGCATCGCCAATACCCAATCTGGTGTAGGGTACCTTGCACAGCAACACAGAGACTCTCAAATAAAAACCCCTTTCCATTGCACGAAAACGCGCTCGATGCACCACCGTTAAACCCATTCGTTATCAATTCCAAATATTGTGCACCATCTCTGCAGTATTTCATCAACAATTCACTGATTTCATCTTTCGCAATCAAACAATTACCGCCACTAGCTGCAACAAATTCTCTGAGACCTAAAAACAAATACCGTCGTAATGCCACCAACTAAATTAACAGGGTTAATTGTATAACTTCTAAAATTAAAACTTCTAAACTATTACTTTCATTTGTAAATTTTTATCATGTGTCTAATGTACAAAATAATATGTAAAGCTGGAAGCCACTGACCAATGCTAAATATATATGTGAGGATGGGTTATATAGATGTTCCGCTACTCAACCGTCCACTATCGTCCACTCGTCAAAATTATTTTATTTGATTTTAAAGCAAAAATTAAATTATTAAACAACCACTTCACTAGCAAATGACATAAGTAATCTAAGAAGACTGAGTAATGAAAAATAAGTAATAAAAAACCAGGAAATATAGAACTGAGTAAGAAAACCTACCATTGTCCATTTTTGTAAGGGGTGCAAATGATACTTCAACTATAAATAGCTGAAATCGAAGTGGACACAATACATTAAATCCAGCAAAACCACTACCACTCACTACGCGTATTCGTTTAACTACTAACAAAAAGTGCGCTTCTACCATGGTCGCAACTCGTAACGATCTAATTTGATGCTCGAGAGTGCAGCAAATTCCTTTCAGCATTCCGGGTAATTTTCAAACTGTCGACCTTTTGGAAATTAAATTCAGATTTGTCAGACCCAGGAGCGGGTCTGACGGCCATGTGATTACGACGCAGGTATCACACGTGATTACGAAGAAAGGTATGATGATTGGTAGGATCAAAGAATGATTATCATTATGACAGCTAATATGAGTATATATACTGAATTCGGAGTCCGATTATGAGTATGATGACCGTTATGAGTATTAGGTATCTACCTAGCCTACCACAATACAGTGCCGCTACCAAAACTCACTTGGGCCAGACGTGGGAGCATCGACATAAATATGATTTCCGGGAGTCCGCCATTTCAGGAATCGAAGGATATCCTGAGAACACATCCTCATTGCACCCGTTTTCGCCATTGTGGGTAGCCCTATTGCAAACGTTTGAAGCGTTGTAGTACGTGAATATTTCTCAGTAGGAATAACACGAATTCGAAGTTTCGATTGAAGTAGGGCAGAAGACGTAGTCAATAGCAGCGCACAACCCGCTAAATACGGAACCCGCTCTTCCGCAAATCGCTTCTTCAACATATCGCAAGTACGTGGAGTGAATAAATCCGGAATACGTTTCTGCAAATAACCCGATAATACCCCATTACTTCAAATAATAATTGCTGCGGCTCAGCATTTCTCTTAAAATTTCCATTGACGCTTTAATAATTTTTTCCACATAGTCTAATATCAAAAACTCATATTAAAACTCACATTTTCCAATGCCTTCATCGCGGTTTTAAAACGCCAGTCCGCAGCCTGACTGTCCATTGCTCGAGAATACACCATTTTCAAAGATAAAGGCTATACAATACTGAAGTACATCAACGCTAATATCACAATACTTTAAAGTACTTATTTAAAACTCAAAACCACTAGCACGTAATTAATAATTGTGCACTTACTCACTCGATTGCATTTCAATAACCTCTTTACACTAACTTTACATACTACGCATTTCATTGTCCCTGCTGGTTGCTAAGATTTACAAACTACTACAAAAATTCGTCGCCGTACAATCTACCACCAATCATTCACCTACCTTTCCCTTCATCCAAACAGTATCTGCCTTTCCACATTTCCTACATACAATATGCACTAAACATATAATACCGAATAACGGGATTCACATTTTTATGCAGTGATTGATTTCATTCTCCTCAACGAATACATCCGTGACCTTTATTTCTGTGGACCAACCACCTTGCAGACCTCCATCGGACCATTCCGTGAATGCCTAATCTGTATACTTACTTTTCCCCCGTTTTCCACCATATCAGTTCGGCCGCTGTAACATGCTGTTTGTATTTTGCAGTGTTGGGATGAATGCACCTGCGCTCACTTCAACCCTTACCCAGATGAACACTGTCCATTTCCGACAATGATTGCGTAAGTTAGCGACATGTTGCCTATCCAGTATCTCCACACTCCACTCTTATTTATTCGACAGTGCATTTTTGCAAATTACGTAAAGCCGAAATCCCTTTCTTCTAGATCTTGCATAATTCTTTAAACAAGTCACAATAAATTACCAAATCATTAACTCGGGTAATTCCACAATCAACAGCTGTTGTAAAAACCATGCACGGGAGATTTTTGTTACAATACGTTTGTGATCCCTTTTGAAATATTTTCAGAAAATTTATGATTTAATTCTGAATTCACGACTGACCGGATGAACACTGTGTGGGTTCTTCTTCCATTGTTGGTACATGTCCTCCACATAAACCGAGCTGGATCCCGAGAGAAAGTTGTCTGCTTTTAAATCAGTGCTGAAGCATCGTCGTGAACCGTCCGCAGCCGAGATGGCGCGCTTCCGGACCGTCATGGCTCCGAAGCGCCCAGCCAGGTTTAGAACCGCACGACCACGAACAGCTGGTGGATACATCTTGATAGCTTACTGACTAAAATCCTAAAATATTGAGAAGTAAGATTGGTTAGGCATGGACCAGATACTGGCGAAATACACTGCCACGAATTCAGCCCCCACAGCAACTGTTTCAGACTAAATATTCAGATTAAACTGTTGAAGTAATTTTACTATTTTAGCCTTATAAATTTTAACGCAGAGTAAGAAGATACTAATCATTAATGCTATTGACCACCTAATTTTTCTATATCCGTAAAGAAACTCGTCTTACGATAAGGAAAACTCTTTATTGGGTGTAAACTGCAGCCAAAAGTTGTTGTCTTTTCGCATTTATGACGAAAACAAGCCTCAGGGCTGTCAGTTTTTGGCTGCGTAAACTTGAATTCCTGCAGATTGACGCACTTACTTTTGCTCTTAAATCCCAGTGTCTGGATCCAGTCGAACAAATTTGAACCTCCTCCCAGATGACAAACGGGAAGACGGAGGTAGGAATTACAAAACCAAGATACCGTGCTTCCACACCAGCCAGCGCCTTCTGCCAGTAATTCTGCCTATTACCATACGCCCAAGTAGAACGTACGTGCGCCTTCTTCAAAAGTCGTTATCTCTCGATGCCGTCACACAGGGTGTCGAAAATTAAAATACGAGTACTTACAGTAACACACGCTCGGAACTCGGAAGTACGAACGAACTATTCTGAATTTTAGCGTCCAGAGATAGTTTTTTATTCTAAAAATAAAAATAAACTCAAAGAGTGCTGTAGTGCATGACTATGGAGTACAGACTAATAAGATGTGCAAAACTAGTTGAGCACATACCTTTAAAATTATTATGGCCGCAATAACGCAATCTAACGGTCGAGGAAAATTGGTACGAATTCGCGCGTGCGTATAATTACATAGTAGAATAGACGAGATCTCAATTTTTTTATGCCCTGCCATACTAATTTTAAAATTTCATAAAAACAAAATGATTTAAAATTCCCCAAACTCTTTGTGCTGCTTTATCCCATTTTTCCCAAATTTTAAACAGGAAGATTTTCATTTTAGGCGTTTTTGGTGCTCATTCGGCTTACAGATGGCGCATCAGCTGTAGTTGTCGCTGACTCTGATTACGCAGAGTCGTACGAGCGACGTAAACGGCATATTGCAACACTGGTGCGCGTCGCAGTGTATCTGATTTTAACGGTGTTGGATTCGTTAACAGTGTAAAGTGTAATAGTTGTTAGAATTTTCTGTTCCGTTGATATCTTAATGCTGCTGCCTGTTAAGTCTTAACAAATTATTGATTTTGTAGTCCGCCAGTATACCTATGAAGCTTATTTGATTAACGTCAGCGTCTGACGGATACCATATGAAGAGGAGATCGGAATTGGCTTGTACGACGACCTTATATTTCGGACTACCGATACAAGTATCATTCCTGACAACCAATTGCAACCGTGACCGCTTTTGCTTCTAATGATCTGCTTTATGGTTGTAGCTACAAGAACGGTTTTGGTCACGCATGACAATACGGGTATACAAAATAAACCTACGGTACCGTAAAAATGTTGCCCGTAATACCATGGCAAGGAGTCTGTCCACTTCAACCCGTTTCCGTAGTAGCGAATCCGACCGCCATGAATTTGATGACAATAAAAGTTTGCCGATTGTATGGGTCGATTTCGAACTTTTAGAACTTTCAGAACTTTTAGAACTTTTAGAACTTTTAGAACTTTTAAAACTTTTAAAACTTTTAAAACTTTTAAAACTTTTAGAACTTTTAGAACTTTTAGAACTTTTAGAACTCTACAAACATTAAAACCACCCCCTACGTAACTATTTCCGCGAGGAAATGCCACGAATGTGTTTTTATATACATACTCATTATTGTGACCGCGTTGGTTTTTCTGCTGTATGTAAACTGCCTGTATACGCTTCACTGTGCATACTGTACAGCACACTTGATGTAGCGGTACAACCATAACGATCAATGGGCAAACTCTAATTCGGATAATTATCATTTTGCTGTTTTCTTACAAAGTTTGCCTTCGGTACCGTAAAGTTAGCTTACAGGTTACCCGGGTATGGGTCTCAAGAGTCATGACGATTGTTCTTGATAATTGTTTCCAAAATTAATATCTAGACATAGATGGAGTACACCCATTATGGCTTCTTACAATTCTTGATTTTCCAATGGGTTCATTTTCAACAGATTCACTGACATGCAGGCAGTATGATAGCATTGAAGACGTACAGCTCGAGTCGGTATACTTCTACAGATGACAGTGGGTCAACGTTCAAGCACTTTTTATCCCATGCCCGATGATTACGACGCCCTTGAAACTAGCCAACAAGGTCAGTTTCTCCATTAGCTTTCTGTCTGTTACTGATTTGCGAGCAGAAAAACCGATCGATCTCAATAAGTAGGTTGCGTTTTGCACGGCCGGACGATTAACGGCAAAGTTAACGACAATTTTGGCGTTCTTAATTTAAGGCTCCGGTGATTCGCATAAGAGGTTGCGTTATGCACTAAACAATTAACAGCGATAGACATTAGCGTGGCGAACTGTTGTGTTTTGACAGTCATTTTTCAATTTTTTGTATCGATACCGAAACGATTTCATGTTGCACCGTAAAAGTAACAGAAAAAAGATTTTTTTGTGGTAGAAAAACATAGATTAACACGTGTATGAACGTTTTCACGCAAACACTAGGCACGTTGCACTATGCACTATGCACTGTTGTGATTTTCGAAAATTCGAGTCGAGTGGGCAACTCAGGATTGAATGCCCAGGCAGAAATTCACTGGATACACTGTCTCGCCTACGCAGTATTCGTGCTCAATGGTCTATGTGGGCCCAGTCGTTCATTACTGAATTTTAACGTCGTTATTAACGAAACGATACCCCCTTCGTTTCGTTAATAACGACGGGTACTGCCGTTTAAACGTTCGTTAATTGTACTCCGTCGTTAATTCTATCGTCAATCGTACCCCTTCGTTGATACCGCAACCTGCTTAATGTGCCGGCGTCCCAGCGGGAGATTTTCTGTGCTTTGGTTAAAAATAGCCGAATATGTGATTATAACGTTAAAGTGCCCGTATGTTGCGGATTTCCATTTCTAACTCAATGTGAATACAGGTCGATCGACCGTTATTTACCGCACTTTTCATGTGTATTTGTTGTGATTTTGTAGCCTGTCGTTGCGCAAAATTAAGATCGGTAGCACGTATACCAGATGCATAGATAGGCTCATCATACGCATAATCGGTAACGCAAGAAAAAAGTACTGTACCTATCTACGCATATCACAGCAGTTTACTTGAGTTCGAATGCTCGTTTAATAATCAGCAAGTATCAAAAGACGAAAAAAAAATTTCCAAAACATTTTCCATATCTGGCACAGCCGCACAGTGCGATCTACACAAAAAAATTAAAAAAAGATATACCAACCAACGTTACAATCCAGCAATTGCATTTGCTTGACAAAGTACCGAGAACGACCGTCTCGTTTTCTTTTCGAATGACTACAATTAAGTAAATTTGTACGTAACAAAATCTGCAATGAGATCCGATCAAACCACAACCAAAAAACTTGATAAATCGGCATTAGGCCGCATACTCATACTAATACTTCACTGCTTCGTTAGTGCCCATATGCAAATCGCGTTGCACTGTGTAAGTACGAGTATATAAAGTATAAACCGATAGTCGATAAATTTTATCGCGCGCCTTTATAACCGTTGGCGGTTGCAGTCCAACTGCCGGTCTCATTAACCCGTCTTTCACTCTCATCTCTTCCAGGATCCGGAAAGTTCGAATGTCACCGGGACAAACCAGCATGGTCACCCAAGATTTAAGATAATTACAGCCATTAAACGTGTACAAGGGTAAAACGGCACTGATATCTGTGATATCCAGTGGAACTGCAAGAAAATATCCTTGATTAAGCGCTGTAGTTCACATACTCGTAGAAAAGTGTTTCAACAAAATAAAGCTACTTTTCTCCTTCGTTTGTCCTGAATCGTGGCCATTATGCAAGCCGCGTTTAGCATTGCACTATATATAATCCCATATTTGCTGACAGAAAAAGTTTAATATATACCAGTGTACATATGTATGCTTATGATGTTACGTACATCGGGTTTTGGTAAATGGGAGACAGACTGTATTGTTTTGGACGGTACATAATGACTGGATGTATTAAAGGCGTGATCACAACACTTCGTGAACACGATCACAATCATCATATGGCCACAGTCATGAAAGTGCCCATATTACATAAGAAGACGTACACTGCTGCAGCTGCGGCGTTTTCTGTGTATGGATTTGGTGCTTCGGCTGGAGAACCGGTTCAAAGATTTCTTTAGGGCAGGTTGCGCCTTGCATGCACGCCTTTCATATTGTTTCAAGAAGGCGAACGGAATTCGAAATTGACTTGAACATCGTAGATTATGTAATTCTTATTGTGTTTGGGAGTGCTTCTATGCTATAGAGCAGCAGCAGTTTTTCTACCAAACAGATGCCAAAAATGATGTCTCGCTCTGTAACGATTTTATGTTTGTGGACGTCCGTTAGTTTCAAATTTATTTCCTGTACTATTGTGGCACCCAATAGCACTAGTGGAATGCGGGAGAAACAGAATGCTCCCATACTTCCAGACCAGTTCAGTCTCACGATGACAACGTTAGCCGAAACGAACAAGACCGTGTACCGCCTTAAAGTAAGTCCTGTTGGTCGGGTTACTTCCTTGTTCGTTATTTGCGGCGCAAAATCGTCATAATTCTCACCGTACTTTGATTGCCACTGCCAAGAACGTTAACCATTAACTTGAAATCCTTTATTTTCGGGTTTATAGAGGATTCAGGTGCAGTAATCGAATTTGCCTGCACGTGCATTTGTTGAATTATAGATGAACTTTGATCTCCCGCACTCCTTGGTCTCGTGCATCACGGACTCATTGGGTGGTGCATACTTCCCGTCGTCCTCCATTCAGAACCGCACCTTCTCTCGTACACTACTCGACTACAACAGCGGCCTGTCGTTCACGATGCCCGTGGGCACGTGGCTTCTTAGCGGTGCTGGTTGTAGCGTCTCAGCTATCGACAATCCTAACCTGGATCCCATTGACTCCGACCGCTCGACAGTTGTCTACCTGAAGAACGCTCGCGCACTTTTTGAATGGAATCAGTCCACTGCGGTGTATGCCGGACAGCGGGACTTCAACGGGATGCCGACAGATGTGTGGGTGTCCCAGCGGAGCAACAATGACATGAAGATGAACATTACCACCACAGTGGAGACGTATTGGCTACATGTGAGTCACATTCGCTTCGTTTAGTGCATACCTGTTGGTGAACGACGCTAGATGACAATTGTCCCAATCGGAACACATTACGCAATATTGCAAATGTTTATGCGCGTTTGATGTATTTCTGTTGCACGCGCACCCTGTTTGAGTTTGTCGATTTTATTACAAAAAATTCAAATCGCGGATCGACCGGCAATTCATTTTCGTAGTATTGAAGTGCCTTCTTGAAGCAGTGCCCATAGCTCGGCATTTCCCTCGTTGTACCCGTTTTGCGGTAGCTTCCCGTTTTTTATCCGATTCTTTTAGCCTGAACAACGTTTCGATACGATAAATACTGCATTTACCTGTATTCGTATAGCAGGGAGCACATTTGATAGCGGCAAAGAATGTAACGTATGTAAGAGGTGTATAGAGCAAGTTCGATTTACACTATGTACAGTACTTGCAGCTTTTGTACGCCACAAGTCTTCAGGATTAGGCAGTTCAGTACTTTATGCTTACTGCGTAGTACATAATTCAAGTAGTTGCTGACACTTTGAGCTGGAATTCGTGTAACTGCCGATAATTGTAAGCCTACATTTTTTTAGGAAGACCGTGCGTCTTCCGGCGATCGTATTCTCGTGGGAGTCGTTAGCTATCGGGCACTCCCGAACGGAACGAATCTGGAGGCCCTCCAGAGTACTGTCAGCGATTTCAACGCCGCACCTTTCTACTGGAAGACTTTTGACGTTGTGGACTGTCTGCAGAACGGCAAAGAGCAGACGATCAGCTTTGGTTTGAAGGTGCAAAATTACGGGGAAGTTGAAATGCGGATGCCGGTTTTTGAGACAGCAATTCGCAACGCATTGTCCAATCTGACGGCGACATCGCCGACGCAGCTAACCGATATTAGGGTTATGCCGGGTGATGCGGAGAACGAACTACGTATCTTCGTGACTGTGTCAGACTGGGTTAACTACACAGCCAGGGGGACCAACAAGATCAAGTATCAGAGTGCCGCTGAAGTGGTTAATGCTTTGAGGAGACTATTTGACGAAAAGGATCTAACGTTTGCTATAACGTTTGCTAGGAGAACGCAGGTTAGTACTTTTCGCTGTAGCAAATACAAATTTTTCATAAATGCTCAATGCAATGAATTTGTCAGCTTATTCTTTGAGGACTGGAAAGTTGTTTCCAAGTTAACTACGCAATAAATTCTCGTAAGTGGCGGTTTAAAAAATGGTGGAAATGATTTCCAAAGATTTTTCAGAGAACCCAAAAAATGGTGGTTAGCCATAAAGCGATTACCGGTTCAGATACAAAACGAGAATTAAATAGTAGTTTTTGCTTCCTTGCAGTCTGCGACTTTCCTGAAAGGCTCGATCAAAAGCAGCCGTGATCCTACCACCGCAACGGATCACCCGACTACCATTCCTCCTACGGAAACGTCCACTGCTGCCCATGAGCAAAATTCTTAGTTCTATCTGCATGTTAGTATTAATATTATTCGTGAGTATGTCGGCCACTGGCAGCCCATATAGCCAAGCTGCTGAATCTTTTTTAGTTTCTGCCAGTATCAATCCCATTCTCATTTTTTTTATCCCTTTGAGTCGTAGCTGTGGGAAAAGCTCGTTCTGTCACTTGCTTTGTACAATGAATGTTGTCTAAGCGGTTCACCATGTGTGGCTACCTGTCCTGACCAGCTTGCCATGAGCGTAGCATGACTAAACACATTGTCGAAAGCTGCCCATTCTATTTGTTTGGTCACTCACTGACTTAGCGGGCTATTTAACTAGAATATAGTGGAATTTCGGTCACTCGCTGGACTAACGGGTTTGTGCACTGAACGATGGCAGTAGTTCGGTGACAACTTCGGTCTATCACTGATTGAACAGACAATCACAGTAGTGATAGTGTAGCGATAGCTGCTCGGCCGGCACTTGTTTAGAAATTGTCCTCGATGACAACGTTAGGTATGTGGTCGTTCTTGTCGTAATAACGGTCTGCTAATTAAATTCATTCTGATATTCTAATTAGTGGAAAATACTTTCATTTTTTAACTTTATTTAGGTGGTTTACGTGGCAACACTGCCTGGTTAAAAATGCCACGATGATAACTATTATTGTAATAATTTAGTTACATTTGGTGAAGGTAGTCAAAAATCCTCCGCTTTGGCTTTCGAAGCGGGAGAGGTTTTGAAAGAAATGAACACTATCTGGCCGGGTTTTCGACTACGGGCTTTCGGAATATAATATTGGTTTTGGTCAATCTTTTGTGGTTTGCCGGCTCTGGTGTATCCCATTCGAGGCAATATAGATCTGAATCTGGATAAGAAGGGATTGCGCTTGTGACGGGGACATAAACTGATGTTTGTTTGCAACAGAAAAACTGTGTGCTAACTGCAAACTTGTATGCTAGGCGCAATTACTGTACAGATTTTACGCTATTAGTCTCGTTGCGCTGGGAATGTAATGCAGAGCGCTACCTATGCACTGTGTGCAGCAGCAGCAAAAGGTATAGAATTAAATACTTCCGTTCCGCGTAATCAGTAGTTACCCTGTGGCAGTATAACACAACCAGGTATAATACTATATTTGTACCAGCAGAATTGCCTTTATTGTAAAGCTTTTTCGGCTTCCGCCTCTGTTGTACCGAGAACAAATGCCGTACTTCCCTCTTAAAGCTGGGAAAAGAGTTGACAATTTTTGGCTGCCTTTGCCTATCCGGTTGCGCAACTAAACGAACGAGGGGAGAAAGAGAACAGAGGGTTGTCTGGTTGTTAAAGTATGATACGTAAAAGTAAAAGCTACCGGCTGTCGAGAAAATCTGAAATTGAGACGTAACTGAAAATTTGAGAGAAAATTTTATGTATGACTGCTAAAACCGTTTCATGGGGCAGAATTCGCGGTAGTCGCTGCTTCCATCGCATTCACAGCCAACGAATAACATATCACAAGAGGTTATAGAAAATCAACATAGCATCGCGGTACACAAGATGACAAGATTAGCAAGCGTCACTCACATGCGGTCCACAAACCCGGAAAATTTGTTCCCCCTGGAGCTGTCGCCTGAACGGAGACTGCTGGATTCCGGTGCCGATCCGCTGGGGTCAACGCTGCCTTGCTCGCTCTTCGCTGGTTCCCTGCTGTATCTTGTTACCTACTTACGTGATCAGGCAGGGAGCATCCGGCCCGAATGGTTCAACTGTTCGAAGCCCGGAGGGAAAAGCAGATCGCCCTGGTTTAATCACCACTTAGCTAAAGTGTCGATGCTGGTAACTGGTAAGTAATTCAGTCCGACTGATAATCGTCCCACAGCTGATCCATGGCGCGTAAACTGAGAAACAATTCGGCAAAAAGCTGTTTGTCAGATTCTAACATGACACCGTATTTCCTGTGCACGTATTTCCCAAGTGGTAAGAAAACTGTCGTGAGCTTCATTCTTTGCGATGTTACACTCACGAACAATAAATATCGATTCAGCAAACCGCCACAATATAATACCAGTGCAGTGCTGTACCCGACAGCTAATTTTGTACCACAGATCCTGATCTACTCTACGCTCACTCTACAGTAAACGTACAAATACACACTGCCCCTTGTTCGGTAAAACTGTAACGTATGGGAGGCAGCGGCTGAACCAGACAGTGGTGCAAGTTGCTCAGGCCGCCAGGCGGTTACAGAAAGTCATTTATTATCGATATCATTCGATATCATTTGATAATACATTAATTATTATCGATATCGTTATGCGTAGTGGCATTACGTACCGGTAACACTTCCGTTAACTGGAATGACCCGGTGCTCCAGAGCAGTCATAAAGCGGTTTAAACGTTCGAAAGAAATATGGTTCAGGTGCTACTACGTACAGACATGCTTGTGTCAATTGAATGTCAGAATCCAGATGCATTTCAAATTTCTGACAGTTGGCAGTTTTATCGCTTGCCAGACCTTGCAATTGCCACCTTTTTTACCCTGCCGAAACAGTGCATTAAAAAGCTGTTTGTCAAATTCTAAAACGACTTAGTATTCCATATGCATGCGTTGCCCAAGTGGTAAAGAACCTGCGCATCACGACGGTCACGGTGGCATTGCCGGGCTATGTCTTTACCGCTCTACTCGCGTCGCGTAGATGTATAGATGAAGTAAATTTGGTATTCATTTGGTGCATTCATTTGTATAATTCGGTGGAGTTTGTTCAGTTGAGCCTACTTAAAACATGCATCAAGGTGAAGTTCAACCTGCCAGAAAATCCACCAGCCGCTTACCGGCAAGACTTACTTTAGAAAAGATTTTGGATAGTTTTCTGATATTGCCTGTTTTTGGAGTAGTGGATGGGTGGACAGAGCTTCGTCTGAAAAGATATTTCCAAATGATCCCAGTATTTCTTGGCGCATTTATTGGTGCAATGATGAGTACGGTAGTGTATTATGACATTGGACCCCAAGCAAGGGATTCGGCTAAGCTGCATGGTCGTGTTAGAAACCAAAGGTTTTGAAAAGGTAGTACTTAGGGAAACAAATTAAAGGAGGTTGGTATGCGGAGCCTCTATCCATTTAAAAAGAAGGCGGATGATGGACGTAGTCACGGACTGATCAGCATATTATTTTTTCAGGCTGATGCTGCGGCCATATCGTTCGCAAATATGTCGGCACCTAATAAATGCACGAAAAACGCGAAGCCGTAGATCTCTTCCGTTGACGGATCCGGTACATTCTCAATGCGGAGGGAGTAATCGTCACTGGGGCTTCTTAAAACATTATACTCTGTACCCGAATCAAGATTGTGACCGGGCGCTGTTGCGTGACCTTCGCTTTCACATGCGCCAGTCCCCTAAATATGCTTCACTCTTGTATGCAGACTATCGGGACGTGCCAGATTTATCGGTTGTGAGCAAAACAGATTAATCAAGATGATTCACGTTTTGCCGGAAATCAGTCAACTACAGTATATACGAGTAATTATACATGTATTAGCATAAACGAATTAGCACTTGTAGAAGTACTACTCATTTTTTTCGTGCTAATCGCCAATGCCACGGTGTCACTTTGAACAGGTATAGTCCAAACCCAGAAGCTTAGAGGTCAACCCACATGGTACCGCCCGTTGACATTGCCCTTTAAAAATGTGATTTTCCGAAATCCGAAAAGTACGCCGCGTATACAGTACATTTATACTTACAGTTTAATGCGGAATGCGACGTTTTGCTACATCGCCAGTGCAACTACATCTGACAAACACGGCAGATCACCTGATGTTGGTACTCTTGATAGCAGTGACAAATTAAGTGACAACACTGACAAGCACCGCAATTCGTATACTTCATATTGTAGCCATAGCAAATTCGATACTTCATTAAACTACGTATGAATTGCACAATTTTCACTGTCTGCACAATTTCACTAGTACATTAATACAGTACCTTGTGGAGAACGCGTAATGTGGATGATAGTGTTACGAGTATACTTGTGGCTATAGTACAACTACTGTCTAGGCAATACGAAGCCTAGTAGGCAATACTCGGAGATGGCACTATCACTAAACCAACTTTACTAGCAACAAAACAGCAGCCAGCCAGTGGCAACTCTTTACAGATGGAAAGTCCAAATGAACAGAGCGCATTTTCTGGCAGCATCGCAGGTGCTGCTTATATACTGAACACTGAGCACAGCCGTTTGCATTAATAAGGGCAGAACAATATGATATTAATCAGAGCGTAAGTTAACAATGGGGTGTGGCTCGGGTGTGACAACAAATAGGTATTAAGGATACAAGGATGTATCAAATGTAACAAGCGCATTGATCCTTATTGTGCGATGACAGCAATAAAGAGCAGCAATTAATAACTTTAGCTGCTCTATTTTTAAACGCTTCGATGGTCATATAATTATGCAGCAAAAATATTGTATAAGCAAACCGACAGATACCGCTAAAATAAAGCCAAAGTGTTCTGTTATTTTTGCTACGATTCTGCAATTTCGCACCGCTACACCCGATAACACAGTTGAATTGCAGTAAGACACTGCTAGTTAGTACGTTTATGATTGCTTGAATACACCGGTCTGTTTTCAAGTGCGGATCGAACTAAAGCGACAATCGTGTGTGGGTTACGTAAATAGTAAACGCAGTCCTGTATTAATTTGACTAGCAAAACACAGGACTGCACGGACTGGCAGACTGAAGGCTACAGCGGAAATTGCGGCGCTTTTCTCAGTTTTTACTTATAAAATTATCTCTGAACTGACAAAAGCAGCCAAAACTAATCAACTCTTTGAAGAGGAAACACATCGTTTGTTATCGTTATCGTTGTTATCGTTATCGTTATATCCAGTTTGACATGGAAATCCAATATTTCCACCAACGACAGACAGCAAATATCATTCGTAGTCAGTCGGCGGCTGAGATATTGGGATCAGGTTTCAACGCGTCGCGAATAATTTCTTTGATAGCGCTACTCTGCAAAGTGTACTCTGTAGACTAAGCTATTAACAATTTGATACAAGCCTGTGTATCACTTTCGGACCTTACTGCCCAAAAAAGCTGTTGCAAAAGCCATCAAGGCCACTAGCAAAGATCTCGAAGCAAGCGTTACCATCGATTTTTATCAGCGAACGTCAGCGTTGGGGCTGTAGACGCTTTCCGAGCTCCATAACCAATCGGAATTTAGCAGCACTGGTGGAGGAGTCTCCACCTTCTGGCGTTGGCGCGTTTGGTAAAGATTAACCCATCAGCGGATTAATATACTACCGGCTCCAAAGCGGACGCAACGCGATCCATGGTCAGCCGGACAGCTGTTCTGGGTCACTAGCCGACTAGGCGCTGCCAGAAAATTTGTTCGTGCGATTTTGGCCGGTGACCGTTAATGTCCCACTTCTGAGCATTGCAACTTCCCCTTGGCGTTTCAGCTCAGTCTCTCCAGAAGTCGCAAATTTTAGATGCGGCCGGCACGAATTAGCATCCTGGCTGCAGCTACATGTGCTGCGCGAACTCTTTTCGGCATGTCACGCTGCAGCTCCATTATGTACTGTACAGTGTGCACTTTTAAAAAATCGAGTGACGGCCGGGTATCCACACACGTTCAGATACGTTCGTATATCAACGTCTTTTTTCTGGGTATGAGTGCGATGTAAGTTGTTACAAAAGGCTTTGAAAAGCGAGACAAGCTGTCTTGTATCGAGTTAAGACTTGTTAATTTGTTATTATTGTGCAGTTTATTGAGCTGTCGCATTGTGTGCAAAAGGCAACTGACTAGGAAGGAAAGAATCGCAGCCACAGAAACAAGATAGAAACATTAGAAGTTGCTGAAAAATCAGAAAAAACCAGAGAATCAAGAATATATACATATACACCATTAAATGTAGCTGCATGATCAGAACATGCACATATCATGTTTGCTACATGATAAATAAATCCATAAAACACACACGCAAGTGCGGCGTTTTCTCTGTGTATATTTGTTGACTCGAAGCACTCGTTTCAAAATTTCCTTAGGGCAGGTCTGGTGTCGCGTACAGGCTTTCGCACCAGTTTTCAAAAAAGCGAACCGGGTTTGTTGGGAATTCATTTTAGCGTGGTAGATCACGATTCTCTCATTGTTCTAATCTTAGGAAGTTGGCAGTGATAGAAAACAGTTTCTCAGCCGTTTCCAGAGCCCAGAATGATTTCGTGGTTGGTGGCAATCTTTGCATGCTTCCAAGGGATTCTCGGTAATTTCGCGACAATGGAGAGTGTCCGCGTATCCTCTGACGTCCCTGCTTTCGATTTTTCGATTTATCCCCTCTGCGACTTCAAGACGCTTACAACCCCTTCGAAGCAGACTCCGGTACCAAAACTAGCGGAAGCGTTTACCATTAAAGTGGAAGGCAAGATCGGAGAGTGGGGATACTTTGATTCGGAAGGCTATTCTGAAAAAGAGGGCCAACGAGGTGCAACATACATCCTCTCTTTGGGCACCAAGACCGCCTATGTGTACGATTTCATAACGGGAAATGCTTTCAGCGTCGTGGGAGAAAACGATGAATATGGTGGTGCGCTAGTCGCTAGTTGTTTACTGATATTTTGTATTTAAGTATTATTTTTGTAATTTGGATACATTTTCTTTGATAATATTAATGTGCCGGTTTTTTTTGTTTTTGTCAGAAAAGGTTTTTAAGCTTCTCCTAAAATGAAACAATTAATCCATTAAACGTTTTTAAAATTGCTATGACACTGCTTTGTGCTCTTCGTAGCTTCTTCGCATTGTAAGATAACCATATTTATATACCTACCGGTAAATACGGAGAACTTTAGCACGTTTAGGATTTTTATGCTGAAGAATATTTTCAGAACGGCGGATCACCAGTAGTCTTTGCTCACGTTTTTCTTACTTTAAAAGTTCGTATATTGCTGTGCTTTTACAGGGCGGCAGTGCACGAAAGAAGATTTATGGAAAACGGGATGCAATACTTATGCCTATTATATTGCGGAGGTGGCCGGATATTCTGTCATCTCCAGTAAATGCAATATAAGTGCCAGTAAGGTCACAGATCAAGGTGTTCAGGATGCCTCCGTTCGAGCTATCCAAGTGCAGATGTGGGAACAGTGCGTGCACGATAATAACCTGAATATAACCTGGAGAAATCGCTATTATTATACCGCTCCCGGTGTCTCTTCTCCGAGCAATCCAAGGAATGCCACACCAATTCGGTTTGAAAGTTTACAAATTGACGGATTTGGTAAATATCCGCCTGTTATTATTAGTTGTTCTTGTAACATTATGAACAAAGTAGTTGATAATTTGCGTACAGTTTACGATAATTATACTTTTTTACGTTTTCCCAGGTGCTGGAAAAATGCAGGTGTATGATTTTATGTACTACTACCCGGATGTGAAGGACAAGTCTGTCTTTTCAGTACGTACAGACAAATTAATCGCTCTAGAATTAATATTAGCGATCTAGCGCACAATTTCCTCTAGCCACCTCCAGGAGTTTATTGCCCGGGTTGGATAAGGGAACAACCAACCGCTCCCATCCTCCCGGACCAGTTCAGCCTCACGATGCTGACGGTGGCCAAAAAGGATAGCGCCGTGTATACCGTGAAAGTAAGCGGCATTTGCTCAGGTTGCTTGCGCTGCGTGTTTGCAGCGCGAAATTATCACAATTCGCCCGCATCATTTTATATTAAGAATATGTACTGAGCTGGATCTTGTGTTTGATGCGTTTGGGGTTGTAGCTCAACCTTGACTCACAGCGCAAGTTGGCTTCGTTCGTTACGGACTCGACCAGCCGAGCTCGCTTGCCGTCGTCTTCCGTTAAAAACCGTACCCTGTACCGGACGACCCATGATTACAACAACGACCTGTCGTTCAGGACGCCCCTGGGCACGTGGCTGTTGGGCGGTGCCGAGTGTAATGTGTCAGCTGTCGGCAGTGTTGGCCTGAATTCGAAGAGGTCCGACAGCTCGGCAGTTGTCCACCTGAAGATTGCCCGCGATATGCTTGAATGGAAGCGTTCCACTGCGCTGTACATGGGGCAACGGTATTTCAACGGGATGCTGGCACAGGTGTGGGTGTCAGCACAGCGGAGCAATAACGACGGCACGAGGAACATCATCACCACTGTGGAGACGTATTGGCTACCTGTGAGTGATTTTCTCTAGCTGGCCGAATGCAAACTGCTAGGTCAGTTACAACTAACATCATACATGTAGCTTGGATTATAAGAATTCCCATGAAATTGTTTCCCCACAAAACCTTACCGTAATCTGTGCTCTGTAATCTGTAGGTCATTCTCTTTGGCTGACATCCGTTTGTCGATAGTCTCTGATCTTCTAATATGTTTCTCCTTTCTCAGTGGACAGCATTAAGCAATTTGATTGATTAGTTAAAGAGGTTGTTGCGCCAGAAAGCAGTGAAGAATATAGTTAACTAGATTTTACGTACACTGGGAAATATCCCAAATTCGTACAATGTTGTTAGAAACAATGCAGCTTGCCTTTGCTTGTTCAAGTTTATAATAAATGAAACTTTAAAGTGTAACAAACGAAAATTGGCCAGTCGTTTCGCTGTTCAAAACGTTTTAAACAAGATCTGCAAACAAGAACTCTTGTAATGCGCAAAAATCGCGAGCTTGCTTGCAGCGTCAAAAAAGCATCGACTTTTTAAGTCGCTTGTCTTGCTGAGGTAAAGAAACCCGTTTTACGAGTACTTCTACAATTACAGATGCTTAATATCGTAATGAAATGTATGTAGTTAACCGTCATAATACCGTCATAGTTAACCGTCATAGTTAGTCATAATACGTTAAGCAATTCTTATACGTTTTGCTGAAATCGTATAAGTGTTGCTGTTGTTACACTGTTTTCATTTAATGCAGGAGAACTGGACGTCTTCTAGTTCTGGTGAGAGCTTGCTCGTGGGAGTCGTCTCCTATCGGACATTCTCTAATGGATCGATCCTCGAAACCCTCCAGAGTACTGTCAGCGATCTAACCACCGCCCCTTTCAATTGGAAGGCATTCGACGTTGCGGACTGTTTACGGAACGGCAAGGAGCAGATGATCGCGTTCGACTTGAAGGTGCAGAATTACACGGAACTGGAATTGAGCATGCCGGCTTTCGAGGCGGGAATTCGCGATGCGCTATCCAGTCTGACCGCCACATCACCGCTGCAGTTCAGCGATATCCGGGTTACACGGGGTGATGCGGAGAACGAACTACGCGTCTGGATGACGGTGTTAGACTGGGTCGACAAGACCATCAGTGGAACCAGCGTGACAATGTACCAGAGCGCCGGGGAAGCGGTTAGCGCTTTGAGGAATCTATTTGACGACAAAGATTTGCCGTTCACAATACCACTTGTCAACAGAACGCAGGTTTGCACACATTTCCATAGCAACTACACACCATTTCTTTATGAATTCCATATAGGTACGCGTAACAATTGCGCCGCCTCCTTTCTTCATTAGTATGAAATACTCTGTATTTTACCCACACCAAAAAATAATGCTGATAACCGATAGATCAAGAAGCCTTGAAAAATTTCCTACAGATTACTTAGAAAGAGCTGTCGCAAAATACTAGCGGATGACCAAGATATCTGCAAATGCTAATTTAGCATTTAAACAGCAGTGTTTGTTTCCTTGCAGTCTGTGACTTTCGTAAAAGGCTCGTTCCAGAGCGGCCGTGAACTTGTGCAGCCGACCACTACACCGATTACCGCACCCACCTCGCCGACCACCATCCGCACCACGGAGACGTTCACCGCAGCCCTGCCAGCCCGTGAGCAAGATTCGTACTTGGTGGTCACCATCAATAAAGTTAACAGATCAGACGCCGGTAATGCATATAACCAAGCAGCCGGGTCTTTCTCGGACGCTGCCAGCAGTAGACCCATGGTCTTTTCTTTTCCGCTCTCGAAGCTTTGAGTCGTGAACTCGATCGCCGCTGTGACTCTATGACTATGTGAGTAAGCTGGTTTTATCTTCTTTATTTTATCGCATGCGGCATTCAGTAATTTGATTGCGTAGGACACATACATTACAAACATTATTTGTCCGTTAAACTGTGCTGCCTTTTTCCAAGGCTCTGAGAAAACAGTTTATTTGCCAGCTACAGATAAGTACAGAAGAACTAAAAACTGAGTTTTGCTACTTCATGACTTGCCTGATGTGATTGAGCGCTTCGGCTGCTGGTTTCCAGCTCCGAATGTTTCAAAACCAGCCTTTGACATCTGATACAAGGATTGGCGCGATTTCACTTAGCACAGAATGCCACAGATTATGCTAAGTCTCCCTTCATTTGCCAGTTACCTTAACTTACCTATAGGCATGAGTTGCTAGTATACAGAGTACGTTCTGCTACTGCATGACTTGCTTGAAGTGATTTATGGTTAAGCACTCGATTACGAGCCTGGATGTCTCAAGTTGGCATCAAGGGTTAAAATTATAATAACAGATACATTGGCAGGCAAAATGCTAAACGAGTCGGAACAAAGAAGGCATTACCATTTGACGAAGAAGTCGTAACTGTTGGAAGACAGCACAAAGCACCGCACTTGCCACACGGACAACATACGTGGAATATGGTAATTAAGTAACTGTTTATAGCACAAGATTAATGACACCCGAAGCAGCGTCACATGTACATCTCCAGCCTCAGGCGACAATTGGAGCCAAGTCAACGTTCCCAGCGAATATAAAGTTGCCATTAACTTTGCCAGTCATACTATGATACCTGGGAATTCTATAGTAATAGCTAGGTTTTTGGCGAAATTCAACGCGTCAAAACGAGCCATTAATTTTAACGGACATGGTAGCACTTGACGGAAGACGGGCGTCGACACCACCGCGCGTCGCGAAAGAGCATATAAAAGCTACAAACATCAGACTTCGCTGATATAGTTATTGGAGACAATACGCTCATACTGTACGTAATACAGTTACAGCTGTAAACAGCTACAGAGGTACTCCGCCCACTTTGTCCTCTGAGAATTAATTACTAGTACAGGATGGGATTTGCAATAGCGATCGCTGTCATCGGCAGCGCGGTGATCTTGCTCAGTGGCACCGCTGATGCGCAGAACCGTACCGCATCCACTGCAAAGCCAGCGGAAGGCGTCATTAACCTGCAGAACCGTACCGGATCTCCATCAAAACGCACCGGTAATCGCCCCGAATCCGTTGGAAACCGTACCGAATCCGTCGTAAACCGTACCGAATCCACCGGAAATCGTACCGAATCCGTCGGAAACCGTACCGAATCCGCCGGGAAGCAAACGGAAACCGAAGACCGGTAAGCACGCATTGAGCTAGTTCGCACTTGCATTTCGTTACAAATACAGTACAGAAGGTATTGTTTCAAGAATAAGTGCAGCCTTTCAATTATTGAATGTGTCATTGCGCTTTAAGAATTTTGCCAATGTTCAGTTTCTATACCGAGTAACCTCCAGGTTAGAAAAGAGGGCGTCGTATTTCCTTGGGTAACTGCTAAATACGAGTCCAACATCATTGGTTCACCTGTTAGTATTTGCCAGATATGATAGAGAACTGATTAATTTTGATAAGAGTCACTTCGTACTTCATGAATTGCGTTTCCAATACGAACTTCAAATCATTTCAGCCTATACCGGCCAGTTATAACACCCATGTTAGCTCAGTGCTCCGCAGCCTTCAAAGTGGGCTGCAAATGTGGTGAAATTCGCGTCCAGTGTGCCTTTTGCGACATGACCTGCAGCAACCGAAATCCCAGATGTCCCGCGGTCTGCACACCCGGATGCGCATGCATGGGAGGATACGTTCGCACCGCTAACGGCTGCGATCCGGTGTCAACTTGCCCGCCGCCGCCGCCCCCGCCACCACCGATCAAGCCGCCGGTCCCAGTCAAGCCGCCCAATATGCCGATGCCCCCCACCACCACCCCTTACTGTGACCGATACTGCATGATGGTTCAACCTGGCTGGCTGACTGGCTGGTTCTGAAAGTTTGAATCTGATCCTGAATGCTAAAAGTCTGAATGTGAATACATAGCCAAATTTTGATTCTTATTGCTGCAAATCTGAGTCTAAATTTCGAAAGACCGAGTCCGAAGCTTTTGTTAGTTTGTTTTATTGCTTTTGTTTGGTTTTCTTGAGTTGTTCTTACGTTATTTCTCATGTTATTTTTTGTCTTTTCTTTGCATTTGCATTTCTGTGAAGTGCTTATTTTCAGGAAGTTGACAAGCACCTTTGTCATTTTTACCACAGAATAATTTTTTTAAATACGTATTTAATGTGTGATTAGAAGCTGTAGGTATGTTAAGCATATTTCCGTACACTTCGTGACAAGTCAAGATTTGCGGGCCGATACCACTATCCAGTTTGCACTTACTTGTCTTTTTTATGACAGCTAAGGATAATCCTAATATGTTTTGGGATTGATGCTTGAAAGATTTTTGAAATCACCGACACCAAACGAAATCTCGAGGCTTACCACAGAAAACTACGGAATTACTTGACTGCGAACTTTTATTCGTACAGCTTAGATTAAGAGTCTGTACAGAGTCTGTACTCTGTACGTAGTATGTCTGCGTCAGCAGCGACGGTTCGCTCAGTAATGTTCACAGTTGTAACTGTCAAGGACAGTTTCCTAGTTCCAAACGCTTCAATTTGTCACCGTTTTCACGAGACAGTTTTCGCAACTTGATCACTACCGTACCATCATGTTGTACACAGTACAGATACTGTATAGCTGGAAATGTTTCTGAACCATTACCCATAACTTTTCTTGATCTTGAGCGAAAACGCAGATGCTGCACGCATCAAACGCCGTAATAAAGATAAACCGAAATATAAAACACGCTACCCACCCAGTAGGACACTCGAAACTGCTCCCATCCACACCTACTTTGGCGCTCGTTTGGATAGTGTCCACGGTCTATCCTGTTGCGGGAACAGCCGAAACATGGAAGGTCACACCTCCTGAGTTTGCAAAGGCAAAGAAGGCAACATCCTGATAGAAAACAACCCGCGTAAATGACAATAAATTATTGAAAAATAAATGCAAACGACACGGCATCGTCTCTTATGTTTTCTGTGTAAGATCCCATTTTCTACCATGAAAAACAATAAAATGTACCTATCTTTTTCAGTTTAGACACTTTCCTCTCTAGAAAGTCTGTTCTCGGTTTCGGAGTAACCTAACGCGGAATGCGAGATAAAAATGTAGACGAAATTAATAATGAAATGGAATCACCGATAAACCTGTTCTCGTTGATAATTTTCTTACCGCAGTGCTGGCTGGGAGCGATATCGTGGGAGGAACGGCCAGTGCGCTATGAGGGCCGATCGATGAACAAGAATACTCTTTCCCGTTAATAAAAACCAAGACATTGCATTGCTGCAGTTGACGTGAAATTATATTAATTGCAATACTATTGTAAATAAGAATTTTACATAATATATATAGTAATAATACAGTAATAGTAATATAGACCTTCCTTGACCCGCAGTTATTTCGATAGTTCTTGAAAACTGTTTACTGTTTTGAAAAAAAATGTGGTGGTCTGGTTGGTCAATAATCGGATGTAATCTACAAAAATTTCCGCGTGAACGTGTGCAAAACGAAAAAAAGGAAAAATAAATGCAAAAAATTCAGCTCTGCAATTCAGTCGTGAGAATTGGTAGCTTGTATCACTCACCAAAGTGTCGCTGGTTACGGTTAGCTGCAGTAAAAAAAGGTGCGCAATTAAACGAGTGCTTTTTTAGCGTTATAAAATTACTGACTACAAATATGCTATCATTAACGTACCGTTAAAGCGCTTGTGGGCGGTCCAACGATCTGGTACAAGCATAAAGCAGTTAGCGTAGTATCACTATCCATCTTCAAAGTGATCGGAGTGGAGAATGTCGGGTGCAGACAGCCGCCACATGCTGCAACAAAACACAATCAGTATCTAGTGGAAACTGGAAAGTAGGTGTTCGTGCTATTGTCGTATCTAAAAGGTCTGGCCGACTATTTAGACCACTTCCCAGCCACGCTTAGCGGTATGAGCACTCTTCTCTCTCAAACTGGTATGGCGAAAACAACTTGGAGGATCGATGGAGGTATGCGTATGAACTCGGGAACCAGGAATCCCTATCAGGAGCCCTGCGAAATACGAACGAATGCCTTACTTCTCACTTCCGGTCTCGGTTCTTACGTGGATTAGATAAAGGCGATGGCCTGTGCGGCGCGAGTATACTGCGGTTTCCCAAAGCTAAGATTAGACTCGAATCCTGAACTTCTAGGTCACCTTTAGAAAATATTGCCCTTTAATCCAATGCACATCGTAATCCTCGACACATGAAAGTCAGAAAAGTAAGAATGTCAGAAATCAAACGACTAATTCCTGACCGCTACCGATATTAGACATCACTCGAGCTTATATAGACTTCTAGTAGTACACAACATACATCGCTAGGAGTTTAACGTACAACCAATCACAGGTAGAGGTGACTAGATAATAACACGGCGCTTTGTATTTACAGGTGAAGGCGGACATCATCGTGGCATCCGGGTGGTGTACCCCTCCTCCCCACGTCACTATTGAATTTATATAGTGACGCACTGACGAGTGATCCAGAAAGATAGAATAGCGACAGTTCGGTATTTGTTACTTTACTTACGGCTAACAGCTACGCCAGTGTCGTCAGTCAGAACGCCGTATGAAGCGCACCTGGGATCCTGCCGTGTCGCTGTGGTCGTCGTCGTGGTTGTTGTGGTGGTGGAAGTAGTCGTCGGAGACGACGTTGTACATGTCGGTGCAGTGGTAAAGCACTCAGGACACGTCGCAGTTGGACAGATCGGGCACGTTGTCGCAGCTGCAGAACAACTCCGCATTAATGAGCAGCAGCTTTACAGCTTAAGCGAGTTTAAGCACGCATAATCGTATACTTTTACTCAACAATTTACTGTAATAAAGTAATCGGTGATACGGTAATTAATAATACAGTGGAGTAATTTTTCGATTTTTCAAAATCACCATCCAAACAATTGTAACCAAACCATGTCATTAAATTTGCTAAAAGCAATTTTGTAGACCGGGACTTTTAAGTATCAACTTACTTGTTGTTGGGTATAATCGGCATTTGTTACCATCCTGATACGCCAGCGAGGGATCACAAACGCATTTCCGGTGAACATTACAGATGGAGGCCGAGTCGGCACAGCGGTGCCCAATCCCGGCACAGTGACAGTTGAGGGCGGCCTTGGCGGTGGGTCCAGCGCAGGCCATCTCAAAGGCCACGTCGGATGGGCTGCCGACATCCACCAACTTGCGCGTCAGTGCTGGCGTGTCCGCTTGAGCGCTGGGCGCAGCGGTCGGCGGAGGGGGCGCGGAAGGCAGTCTAATACTTTGCCCGAAGAAGTGAAAAATACCAAGCGGGACAACTTGCTGGCCAGCCATCTCCCGATACGGCCAAGCTAAGCTGCTCCAAGCCAGAAAGATTGCAGTAATTCTCAACATTTCTACACACGGTACGGCCAACGCTGGAATCCAACGGTTAATCAGCGCGGAATCGCTTCGTCTTCGTTTCTACGGCGAATAATCATATTATTATATGAGAGTCTTCTGTCATAAGCAGTTAACAATGGCAGTTACTTTCATTTCAATAGTACTGTTACGCAGGGCCTGAGTCTCAGGTCACTACGATGGTGTCGTCCAGGGCCCCTACTTTCTGCAGTAATCTGACGTTGTAATTTCGCAGCTGTGAAGATTGCTTTTGTTCCTAACTATAACAATTTTTCCAATGAAGCTCAAGTTATGAGCTGACATGTCAACCAAACGTGCAGGTCGCTTGTCGCCCTAGTTTATGCTACGAACTTGATTATACAGTTTCTTAGGTTTCATATATACAGCCTATAATTACACCAGCAACCGAGTGTTGCGTCGACAAACTGTTTTTAGGCCAATATAATTATTGTATCTGTACATTACAGACAGTACTGTACTTGTATTGTTGTGTGCACACTGCACAGTCAGGGAAACTGCCGCTTTCGTGAAGTCAGGAGTACTGTTATGTATCGTTTCTGCGCGCAACCCTCGGGTGTCAAGATAATTATAGGCTGAGAATATGAAACCTAAGAAACCTCACAATAATTATGTTGGCAAGCATAAACTCGGTCAACATGCACGTTTGGTGGTTGATGTGTTATGTCATAACTTGTCTTTCATTGGAAAAAGAGGGTATAATCGACCGGAGCGCAGCGAAGGTCCTCTAATTCAGACGAAATTAAAAAGTGTCTGTCTGTCTGTTTGTTACGGAAGTAAGAAATGACGTCATACAAGGAAGTAAAAACAGTAATATAAGGAAGTAACAGGATGGTGCAAGGAAGTAATCATAAAATGAGGAAGTTCGCGCTGGAATACTATACTGCAGTACAGCACTCTGATAAACAGGAGTTGAAAGTCATTGTACGGTACTCCAACCATTTCCCTGTACTGCTGCCGTCGCCCACCTGGAGCGGGACGTTACGGCAGTATGTATGGTTAAGTCTGGTGCGGTACCTAAGCGTTATGTTCAGCCACAACGTCACGCTCGTCGGGTCTTGGCAGAAGCCAAAGGGAAACGGTTGGAGTAGGGTTTTCTCTTACCTGTATTACCTATGGTACCAGAATGCTTACAAAAACATACATTGAACGAACAGAAAATGTGTTGCAGTTTACCGAGAATAGAAGTTCTTTTTCATGTAAACGATGTCATGTGAACGATGTTTTCATGTGAACGATGTACGGCAGTACATAAGGCTACATCCGGCGCGGTACACCATAAGCACCATATTTAGCCAAAACGTAAAACTCCAGCCTGCTCACGGCAGCAGTATAGTAGTTCGAGTGGCCTGCTTTTCCCAAGGGGAATGGTTCGAGTAGCCTGCTTTTCCCCCATACATTTGGTACCATGTACCAGGTTACTTTTGCTCACAACGCTCTAGCACTCAAAGGTACGTGCAGCTTCTACAGAAGTAGCAATGCGAAAGTTTCTTGGGTAATTTCACCAAAAACGTACACTGCAGCCGTAGGTTCATTGCACCGGTGGGTTCTTCGTCGATGATTAAGCGGCTCTCATGACAGCTTTAAAAAAAACACACATGCGTGGTCCTGCGGTCGGGCCAAGTATTGCCACACGACTTTCCGAAACGTCGTTGCCGTTGGATAAAACGTTTCATGGGAGGGTATCCCACTTAATAATGCTGACTGAAATAAAATCACACAGCAGACTTTTTCGGAAAAGTATTTATCTTC